AGGAGCTGAGGAGTCTGATCCTCCTCACTGCTCATATTCTCAGGGTTTAAGGTCGTCTGACACTGATGGTCATTTCTCACCAGCTCTCATGTTAAAAACATAAGAGAAAAAAGTTTTCTTTTAAAAAGATCACCTTCCTCCTTCCGTACAGCATGTGTGCTCGTGTTGCTGTCACCAGCAGAAGCTCCTCCCTCTTTAACCCCACCTCTCAGTCTTGATTCTGACTGCCTCCACCTGGAGCTGGTTGTAAAGCTGCTGAAAGGCAGACGTCACAGCCGCGGCTCGCTGCTATCTGAGGCTGGCTGTGACACATTTAGTCGGCTTTATTTGGTTTGTCCCCGTTGTGTAACAGACCTTAAGCTCCTGCCCTTCTCCCTGCCTGTCTGAGGCGCTCGGTTAGTGGGATATTCCCTCTGAACTTTACCCCGCTGACACATTTTAATCAAAGGTGGTTTCCTCACCCGCCCACACAGATCAGCTTCCTGGATCTCGTCCAATCCAGTCTTCTCGCCTCGTCTCTTTCCAGTTCGACCAGTTAAATCCTTGTTTTTTTTGTTTATTCTTCACCCCCCCCTGTTAGCCTGGAGTTTCTTTCATCTCTTTCTGTCCCCACCTCCACAGGTCCGACCTGGTGACCGGGCTCCTCGAGTGGTTTCCGTTTGCATTTATAAAACCAGCCGTTCTCGGGCCGACCTGCGTCCATGGTAACATGTCGGATGTGAAGAGGCCTCTGCTGTGGCGGTGTTTTTGCGACGGACGCAGCAGACTGAGAGATGAAGTAGAAAAATGTGAAATGCTGATTCGTGCAGCGCTGGTCTTCTCCCTCATAATTTGATTTGAAACCATTTCAAAATGTCTTCGTGTTGTCGGTGAAAGTCTGAGAGTTTCCTCACGAACAGGCTCGTTTTTACCCGTCCCCGAAAGTCTGTTTGTAATGAACATTTCTGTGTTTTGGTGACAGGTTTTGTTCTTTGTCTTTGTTCTGTGTACACAGTTCACGCTGCTCGCTGAGCAAATAAACGTTTGTTTTTAAATCGTGTCTGTCTGTCGATTTTAAAAGTTACATTTGATTTCTCAGGGAACCCGTACGCAGAAAAACACATTTGAGTCGTTGGGTTTTTGAAAGCGTTCAAACTTGTTGAGAAGGAAAAACGAGTTAAACTGTGCTTAAAGTGAACCTGTGTGCTCAGGAGTGTGACATCATGAACCACACTTAGGGACAAACGCTCCTCAGCTCCCAGTCAAAGACGCACCGAGGGTTAGAAGAAAATGGTCCAAATAAACTCAGTTTTTTCTCTTCACACATCCATGAAAAATGAGGTTTAGTAAAATCGGCAAACACAGAAATCCTGAAAAATGTGTCAGTGTTTGTCGACGTGTAACAGACAGCGAAGAACCAATTTTAAATGATATCTTTGCTTCTAGCAGCCTGTCACAAAAACGTCGTTTGTTTGGATTTTTTTCCTTGAATGTATTTTTTTAAGCCAAAGATCAATTAACAAAGAGCTGCTAGTTTCAAACTCAAACAAAACAAATAAAGAAACTGAACAAGCAGAGGCAAAAGAACAAAAACGGAACAAACCTGTACAGCAGATGTTTACACTCATGTCCTTTAAATGTAGGAAAAATCCAGCAAAGCTCTGAGTGATGAGTCCAAATTTAAAATTGTAAGTCACAGTATGTTTGGAGGTCGGGAGCTGCAGCCATCTGTGAAACACTGTGAGGGTCATATTTGTGGCTCAGCGTTGGTGATCACGTCACAATCGATGCAGAAAAGTACCTGTCGGAGTTTGATCCACCCTGCGAGACCATCTGGAAAGCATCTGATTGGTAAAGTCTTCATTTTTAAGCGTGACCCCCAAACACAGAGCACTGTCAGTCATGGATCAGCCTCCCCAGTGTCCGGACCTCAACATTATCACAAGAACAGAAACAGAAACATCCAAAGAAGAGCTTTGAATGTTCTTCATTAGCCCAGAGATCTGTTCCTGAACACTACTTAAAGAAATAACAGCGCGTTCAGGCTGTGGTCATACAAACACTGACTTTCAGGCTTGTTATAATTGGTATATGTACATATGTACATGGACTATATTTCCAAATAGGTTTACATGTTTTAATAAATCATCTATTTTCCTACTGAAATGTAAAGAAATGAGCGTTTGGCTCGAGAATTTAGACGAACGTAATATGAAGTTTGATTATCAATGATGATTATTATTATCGGAATAAACATTAAAAAAATGTTCTTTAATTCAGTTGTACGCTGGGCTCTACAGCAGCTTTAACTTGGGAGCAGTGTGGTGTGGAAGTTGCCGTGGTTACGCAGACTTAATTTCATTTACAGGTTCAAAAAGACAGTCAAAGCAAATCCATCTGGTCTTTGATGGTATAACAAGTTATTTATTTCAAACAATGTGAGAATACATAAAAGTAGAGCTGAGGTTTTAGCGCTGAAAGATTTACTGAGTAAAACCTGCTCAATGCTCTTCTACGCAACTACTTCTAACTGTATATACACGTCTACAGTCACATATCACATGACCCCGAGCTCCGGCGCCACAACAAACTGTGCGGCTTAGTTTCGCTGTGAGCAAACGTCATGGCAGCGTAACAGTTCAGGCAGCAGCGAAGAGATAATCCGTCTCCAAACGGATCTTTTTAGAGCGCTCGCTTTACGTGTGC